TGTCGGTGAGAGGGTAGGACCAGGGATCCAAGCCAAACAGAGAGGCAGAGGGAGGCTGATTTTGGAGCCCAGGAGAAGTCGGAGGGCCGGAGGGCCAGGGGTGGCTCAGCCTGGCCTGCTTCTCACCTGTGTTGTCACCCTGTGGGCCTCACTGCACTTAAGAATAGGGAGGCCTGCTCCCTGCTCATGTATTCTTTGGGCTGGTGCCACGGAGGGTGCCATGGAAATGAGACACAGCTGGCTGCACATGGGTCTGGACCTCAGGGGCCTGAGCTGCTTGTTCAAGTCCCACCCATGACCCTGGACGCTCACCTTCTGGGGACAGGAACAAGCATCTGGTCTCAGGTGGCACGTCTCCTGGCGCCCTGCTATGAGCTAGAGACAACCAATGACAAACAGCATGCTGTCAGGTGTCGGGGCTGCCTCCTCCAGAAAGGAAGGGTGTTCATTGGAGAAGAGTCGCTCTGGGCTTGTGGGTTTGTGTTTTTCTGCATCCGCCAGGTTTTATGGTCTTGGGAAGGCATCACTGTGCTGCAGGGTGCCTTCCACGTTTCCCAGTGACAAATGGCTGGCCGTCCCAGCTGTGTGGCATCGTGGAGACTGCGTGAGTCAGCAGCAAACTGGCTTGGGCTGCTCCAATGAAGTCCCCAAGGGCTCGCTGCCTCTGATGGGGGTAAAGGGGCACCTTAACCCCTCACCTTCCCTGCTGTCCTCACCTGCCTCAGGCTCTCTGTTCTGGGCTGTCTTGGCTAAGGCTGGCTCAGGTGGGCTTCCTGGTCAGGCTAGGGAGGATAGATAGTAGGTGGACGAGAGGTGCCCTGTGAACAGGGCGAGCACTGATCTGCTGTCTCATCTTGAGGGTGTTCCCTTTGTGAGGAGGAATTGTGGGCCTGCAGGAGTATGGTGTAGGTGGACGATCTCTGTAAAGGGACCGGAGCTGGCCGTTGCTGGGATGCACTGGGAACTCTCTGCCCTGTAGAAGAGGGGATCTTCACAGGTGGCATCAGCTGGGGCTGCTCCACCTCTATTCTCTAGGTCTCAGGTTAGGCCTCCCTCACCCGGTGGCCATCTCCACACCAGAAGAGCTTGGGCCTGTCTCCTCCTTCCCTCCTGTAGCATCCTGACTCTTCCCCATAGAAGGGCTGAAGGTCAAGTTTTGCGCTTTGTCATTGTGTATTAACCTGCTTGAAGTCATCCCTCCGTAGTCTCTGAGCTTCGTGAGGGAAGGATGTGGCATTTCACTCCACTCTATTGCCAGTGCTGGAACCTTACTTACTTAATAGTGATGTGAAATGAATGAATGGACATTTGCCATTATGGACAGCACCTCACTAAAAGTTTTTAAGAGTTTGCAAAGCAATATGTGCACGTTTTAAAAATCTGCTAGTACAGAATCCGCACAGGAAAGCTAGATTATAATTAAACCACTAACTCCCCCCTACCCTCCTCTATCCCATTCCTCCAAAGGCAAATGCTTCTGACCATTTCTGTCGCCCCTACCTTGCTTCCATCATATGATTATTTTCAGTTCTTTCATTGGTTCCATTTGCCATCTTGACATACATGTGATCCTCCTCTATTTCTCGCTCTGTGAACTTCCTGCGCCTTCTTGCTTTTGCACTGGGTAAGCTGAGGCTTCAGGCACGGCCCAGACCTTCCACGTCTTAGCCCAAACCCTGCCTTCACCTCTCGGCTTTTTTTTTAAAGATGTGGGGTGCGATTCAGGGTTAAGTATACAAATATTCATTATGCAGTTGCCCTTGTTGATTAGACCTCTCGACTTTGTTACTATTTTCTTGTTGGGATTCATAGTATTTCCATTGTGTTTATGTGAGCCATGGGGGGAGAAGTTAACTCCAAAAGACTAACAAGACAAAACAAACCAGATTTTTATTGTTATCATGAGAACTGTGCAGAGCTAAGGAGTGTGTCAGGCTCCTCTTGGGTCCAATGCTACAAACCTGGGGCCTCCCTCTAGAGGAGGCTTCTTGCATCAAGAACATGTAGATTTTTTTTTTTTATGTAACTTTCAGTTGTAGATAATCACTCCATATTTTATTTTATTTTCTATTTAAATCTTGGTTTTCTTTTTTTCTTTTTTCTTTAGAATTAAATCCTTTCATTATAGCAAAAGCAGCATACATGCATCATTGAAAGTTAGAACATCCACATAAACAGGAATTTCCCCAGTTGTCCTCGAAGCATCCTTGGCATATCCAATACAGCTCCTATCTCTTGATGTTTCTTCGCCCCACAGTACTAACTTATGGAAAAGGCTGGACGAATTGTGCTACAGCATCCTACCTTTTGGATTTGTAGGGCTGTTCCCTTGTGGTGGTGGTTAGCTTGTCCTTCTATCCCCGTATCTCTTGCAACTGGAAGTTAGAATACATCCTAGATGATGTGTATTTCTTTTTGCATTATGTCTGAACACAAATAATATTCAGTTGGCCTACCATTAACGATGCTAAGATTGATCTCTGGGTTACATTTTCCCCTGGGACTGGAAAGTAATCTCTTTAGTGTCATTTTGGTATCATATGAATAAATATGGCTTTCGTATTTATTTTTATTTGTTTTGTTTTTCTGGAGTCTTTAGTTGCTTTTTTTTTCTTATGGAGAGAAGAAACATCCATATATCTTCCTCACCATAACACTAAAAGTTTTAAGCTTCTTATTGATTTTAACTGGGAAATGAATCCATTCCATTCTTATTGTGGATATGCTTCTCAGAGCCATATACTTTAAGTTCTAATTTCTACTGATTGCTTTCTAGGTTTGCTGTTCAGCATATCCTGGGCTTTCCTTTAATTATACTTTTGGATCAACTCCACTTTTTAAAAATATTCCATTATGTCATCTCATTCTGTTTATTGGTGCTGTGTGTGAGTGTGTATCTGCCTCTGTTGGAGTACATCCTTAAGTACTCTCCTCATTTCTGAGTTTTTGAATATCTGAAAAGGGCTACTTTCCCTTTACATTTAATTGGTAATGGGAGTTCTAATATTTTTGTGTGGAGTGTGATGCAGAGGGTGTCAATATGGCAAAGTGGGTCCTACAGTCTTTATGTTAGTGAAGACTCAGTTTCCCCATCTGTAAAATGAGGATGGTAACACCTGATCCTCCTCCCTGGGAGGCTGAGTCTCTGACATAAGTGGGCAGGAAGCATATTGAGGAGTGCTCTTGGGATCAGCACCTGTGGCGGAGTGAAGGAGCTGGCATGGGCTGCGATACAGACACAGGGACGCCTCAGCTTATCCCAGGGGGAGCTTTGGAGCTAGCGAGGCTCAGCAGAGATGTCCCCGATTGAAGCAAGGGAACTGGGTCTTCATTCCCTCTATCAAGTCGAGGAGACCAGTCTAGAGGTGTGGCCTTGGGGCACTCCCGGAGAGGACTGGTTCGCTGCCAACACTCCCAACAGCTGGGGCACAAGTGCCTTGGCCCTGCAGGGGGCGAGTGGGCAGTGCGGCCAGCATCCACTGCCACTTAGGGACCTAGCATGAAGCAAGCCCCCAGTAAGTGCCCTTTTAAAAAGAAGGCAGATGCATTTATTTTCCTAGATTTGTCTAGCTTCATGGGCCTGTTATGAATACTGAGAAATATTATCTTTTAACGAGAACCAAGACATCCCACCTGCGGACATCAGAGGATTTCCCCTGGCTTCGAGATGGATGGTCTGGATGAGGAGTATCTGCAGGCTTTGCATCGTACTTAGTTCTTGTATCAAACTTACATCGCACGAACCACGTGCAAGCATTGTCATTAGTCCTTTTTAAATGTGAACTCTTAATTCTCACAGCAAACCAACAAAGAATTACTGTTATTTTCTCTACTTTTCAGATGAGGAAGCCTGGGCACAGCCTAAAGATCTCAGCCACAGCCCTGGGAAAGGGTGGAGCTGGGTCAGAGCTTGGGGTCTGTCACCCAGGCTGTGCGCTTAATGACTTGACATAGCCGCCACTTCATTGCCCGTGGGCCTGGACTGTACCACATGTTCTCATAAGTGGACTTGCAACGATTATAATACTATAAGAAAGGATTGACAGTAGTGGGAAACTGCCAGGGGAGGGAGAGGGCACCCCTCATCAACAAGAGTACCTGCATAATGAATATTGGTATCCTAACCCTGAATTGTACCCCACATCTTGAAAATTAAAAATTAAAAAAAAAAGAAAGAAAAGGGTGGAAGTAGAAAACCGCTACTTACTTAGCTCCTCTCTGTGAGTCTTCCTTGAGGGTAAGGTTGATTGCAGGGACAAGAAGCCTAAACAAATGTAGGCAAATTAACACGTGTTTGTTGTGAGGATCCTGGAAACCCCTGGAGTCCAGTTGCAGGAGGCACAGTTGAATCTAGAAAGGGTGGCTCCCCTGCCCACAGAGACCTGTTCTCTCTTCTTTGGTCTTCTCGTCTGTTCCTTGTCTCCCGTGTCTCTGCAGACCAGCTGTTCCCACATTCATACCTGTGCACACACGGCTAGAAGTCCCTCCTCCACCCGACCCTGTCTCAGCCAGGGCCTGAGTGGGGGAGAGGTGGGGAGGAGACAAGAAACCTCTTTAGCCGATGGTACAGAGCCCTGGGAGACGACTCAGAAGATTGAGGCCCGCCAGCCTTGCTGTGCCAGTTTTATCCCCCTTCCATGGAAGGGGAAACTGAGGCAGGGGTCGGCGGAGGCTGTAGCTGGCTATGGAAGCTGAGTTTCTTCCATCTACCACAGTTTCCAGATTTTGTGACTGGAGACAGCCTGCAGCCATGATTGGTGTGAGGGCAGGTGGGCAGCAGCTCTGCTCCCCCGGGTTTTGTCTTCTAGGCCTCACTGTGCAGCTTATCGAGCCTGGGCCTGGAAAACCCCACTGTGGCCCTGTGCCGCTGCGGGCAGGCCTCAGACAGCACCCCTTCCTGGGCTGTGCAGGGTGTGGCTGGCCCTGAGGTCTCCTCGGAAGGACCAGCCGGTCCCTCCTGGAAGTCACTGACTTGCTGCTTTATTTTTCTCTCTCCGAAGCCGAGTGTTCAAGACAGACATGGAGCTGGAGGTTTTGCGCTACACCAACAGAATCTCCAGTGAGGCACACCGGGAGGTAAGTCGGATACCAGCTCTGGTTGGGCAGGCCCAGCTCTGTGGCTGTGTGGGGTAAACTCGTGGGCCACGTGAGAGGCAGGAGGCTTTGCATGGGGTTGGCTCTCTTCTCTGTTCCCTGGTGGGCACAGGGGAGGGGCAGGGGAGGCTGTACCCCATTTCCTCAGCTTTGGGCACCTGTCATGGGAGTAATGGACACTCATCCTCAAGGAAGTCTCCACCAAAAAGTCCTGACTTCCAGGAGAGTTGGGTCCAACTTCCTGGTATTCTAGCCATTCCCAGCTCATTTTAAAGAACATTTTGTCCTTAACTGTGGTTCAAGCACACTTATGACGACCACCCATTTTCTGGAAACATTTTCATGTGGTTCAGTTCTGAACCTTCCGCTTCACCAGAGAAGCAAGACCAAATAAGAAAATGTGTGTCCTGAAAGACATTCAGGGTGACTGGGACAGCCCCGTGTTTGCTCGAGGACAGTTACAGCTTTGTGTTAGGAAATAGACATGGGTCACTGATGGGCAGCGTGTGCTCTTGTGTGAGTTAATGTTCTCTGTTTTAGGAAAGCGAAACAAAGGAATCCTTTCAGTGATTGTCATCATAGCTTTCGTAGCATTAAGTATTCACCAAGCACATCTCGGTTAAATCTCTACTGTCCTCTGGCTGCTGCTGCCTCTCAGCTGTAGCTCGATGCTCAGTGTTTATTGGCTTCCAAATGGCAGTGCTCTGTAGTGGTTAAAATAAACTGTATGGGTTTTCAAGCCTTAAAAAGTTCTAATTTGTCACATTTCTGTACTACTCTGTGCACATATCATTCCTTTTTTTTTTTTTTTTTAGAGAAGAGGTGCTTTTGAAAAAGTGCTCTACATTATTTATAAGGCTGTGTTACTTATCTGCTTAATACAAATGCCTTTGCTTAATATCCATCCTCCAGGTAATGAAGGCTGTAAAAGTGGGAATGAAAGAATATGAGATGGAAAGGTAAGCCACTGTGTTTCTCTGGGTAAAGATTAAAATGTAAAAAACAGTAATTTATGTTCCCTGAGCGAGTAACAGATGAGGCACTGCGGCGACGTGTGCACATTGAATGGGGATTACGAGCCGGGCTGTGGGATCTTGGGCAAGGATAATTTTCCTTCTGACTGTGACCACCTTCCTGGCTCTTAGCAGAGTGTTTGATGGTAATGGTCTTGGATGACTTTTCAGGGTGGTTTAGTGCCCCATCATTCCGCTCTTGGACTTTGTTTCTGCAATTTGCTGGAAACTTTACCAGATAGCTGCTCTTGTGACTCTGAAAGCCGCTAGTAAAACAGCTTGCCATTTTTATGTGTAAACACTGCCATTATGTCTGCTGTGCTTGGCCGGCTGGGTCGAGGGATGGTTAAATGGCTCATAACGCGCTTTGGAGAGCTCCATTGGCCTTCGGCTCCAATTAGGCCTGCAGAGAACTGGTGCCTCCTGGGGAGTTTCCTGAGCTGCCCAGCTGTGGTGGGTGTGGCCTGGCCGGCTCAGCCCCGCTCCGGACCCAGCGTCAGCTTGCTGCTACCCATGGCTCAAGGAAGCCCTTGGTCAGACCCAAACTACCCCAGTGACTCCCTCCCTACTCGTGTCCTGGGGCAAGAGGCCTCCAGCCAAGGGTCTCTCACCAGTGCTGGCACCGCCTGGAAGCCCTGGGGAGGTGACACTGAATAGACCGCCATTTTACCCTTCCTGCCTTGGGCTTCTATTTCCTGCTAGGCCTAGTGAGATCCTGGTTGCTGCTACCCCTTACCCCCTTGCAGGGCCCAAGTACATGCCACGTGCCCTCAGGGCCTGTTCTGTGCAGGACACTGGCTCTGGGGTGCCGGTTCCATATCACCCTTCAGGCCCCCGCCTCATCAGTGCAGGGTGCACGGCCAAGGTCACCTGGGGTCAGCAAGGGGCAGCATGGATGTTTCTGTTCGCTGTTGCCATGGCTTAGGGATAGGTGTCTTTTTTCACCCTGAAAGAAGTTCTGAATAGCCAGCCTCATGCTTTTCTCTTCTTAACCCAGCAGGAAGAGGTTAAAATGACCTTGTCTTGGGTGTGGTGGCATCCCAGGAAGGGGTGTGTAACACATGTTCATCAAAGGCCAGCTCCATCATGGCAAGGAGGCTGGGGAAGGGCTTGCAAGAGCTGTCCCAGCGTTTGCCTCTGAGGTCTCCCACTGCATTGTGGCATCCGTGGTCTGGTTTCCCAGGACCCCTGCACCTCCCTTCCCACCTGTTCCCACCCCAGGGCCTAGGACGGGAAGAGTTTTGTGGGTTACCCCAGGGAGGTGGGCTGGACAGTGGGTCCCTCTGGCACTGTCCCAGAAACCTGCTCCCACTTGAGTAGAATCATGGTGATCCCTAGCCATGACTCAATTAAAAATAACCAAGAAATTGGAGCAGGACTTGCCTGTCCCAGTGTGGAGCCTTGCCATCCTCCGCATGCTGGCAACCTGTGCCCCACACTGCAGGGAGTCCAGCTCTGAAGGTGGCTCCTGGGAAGAGCCGGAGCCTCCCTCTCCAGAGCGTCCCGGGGCCTGACCCCGCTCAGCCTATGGGCAGGACTGGGTGGGCTCTGGGTCAGTGCTCCTTCCTCTACTCCCCTCACCAGATAATGGAATCTTATTTTTCTTTTAAAGGAAACTTTCAAATATCCAAAATAATAGAGTAGCATAATGAACCCTGAAGTCCCCGTTGGGTGTTTTGTTTAGTTTTGTTTGCTAGAGTATTTTCAAACGGAATCCTAGACATCATGTTATTTCCCTGTAAATACTTTAGCAGGTGTCTCGGTTGTTGAGGATATTGTTTTGTTCTCTACGTCACCACCACGCCATTATCACTTTGAACTGAATGAACAGTAACTCCTTAATACGATCCATACCTAGTCCACATTGGTAGCATTGGTTTGTTCAAGTTGGGATCCACACAGAGTCCTCACGTTGCACTTGGCTGTTGTTGGAAGGAGAGTCTCTTGCCATGCTTGAGCACGAGAGGGATGTCACTTTTGTCTATAAACGGCTCGACCTCCCCTTCTACCCCTGGGTTGGCCCCGCTACTGGCCTGCTCTGTAGACCAGGGCAGCATCTGGAGAGGCGGGCCCAAAGCCAGAGGCCATAGCCAAGTGCACTGTGAAGCTCATGGCCGCAGGGTGCTGAGTGGCTGCGAGTCAGCTTGCGTGCCCACTGTACACCCGCTGTGTGCCCGCTGTGCACTGTGCCCACCTGTGACTGGCCATGAAAGATACAGAGCAGAAACAGTCCCCAGCAGGGAGCCATCTGATCTGTGGACCCCTGAGGGTTTAGAGCAGGGAGAGGGGGTGGGGACTGAGATGGCAAGAATGAGAGACGGGTCTCTTAGGACTGAAGGACAGAGTGGGGACAGAGGGGTCACCCCTACTAAAGATGATGAGAAGATGGGTGTCCGGGAATGCTCTCACCCTGTGGGGTGTGCCTGGCCAGATTTGAGGAGGGCGTCCCCCTCACCAGTACCCAAGCTGAAGCCCCTGGGGGCATCTGCAGCTGTGAGGTGGGCTCACTCTTTCTTCCTTGTGTTCCCTCCCCACGGGCACGGTTTGCTGTCACTACCCAGGCCACTCTGTGACGCAGTTTTGTGGTCTGTGTCCTTGGGAATCTGGAGGCCTTTTATTGGGGGCCACGTCTCATCTATCTGCACGGCGTCTGACCCACAGCGGGTGTCAGGATGTGATGTGTGGGTTGGTTCCGTAGACAGATGCAAGAGAGAAGAAAAGGTCCCTGAGCTATTTTTCTGCTGTCTTCTATGCCACTGGGAACTTTAGAATTATTTTCTTAACTAGTTGGAGAATAAAATCTCTTCTAAAGCAGGTGTTATTGGTTTCCTGGGGGGTGTGGCCCTTTGAACACGGTCTAGACTGCTCCCAGGGAAGGCTGAGGGGTGGCCACACGGCCATGCGATTGCTGACTCACTGTGTTAAAAGGAAGCGAACTGCTCTTTGTGTGTGCTGGTGGCACCCTGCAAGCAAAGTGGGCGTCCCTGAAGCCTGTGGGACCTTCTGCTGGAAGTATAGCCAGCCTCAGCCCCGCTCAGCGGAGCAGAGAGGTCTGCTGTCCTGGACTGGGGGCATGCGTGGGCAGGAGTCAGGGCTGATTTTCTTTCTTTCTTTCTTTTTTTTTTTTTTGATTCTGAGTCTCACTCCATCACCCAGACTGGAGGGCAGTGGCTGCTCCCGGCCCCCGCAGCCTCGACCTGCTGGGCTCCGGCGATCCTTCCGAAACCTCATCCTTCCAAGTAGCCGGAATTACAAGCATGCACTACCACGCCCGGCTGATTTTTTGATTTATTGTAGAGATGAGGTCTCGCTAAGTTGCCCAGGCGGGTCTCGAACCCGCGGGCTCAGGCAAGTCCACTCACCTTAGCCTCCCAAGGTGCACGATTACAGGCTGAGCCACCGAGCCCAGCTAGGGCTGATTTTTTTGAAGGAGGGCATACCACCTACCGGCACTCAAGAAACAATGACCATGAGACCCAGTGCTAAGCCTCATCTTTTTTGTTTTACAATCAAAGGTTTGTTATAAAATCTTGAGGACTTGTTTTAAAAAAAAATAAGTGGACTGATGGCATTTACGAAGACACCTCCTCCTTCGTGCTGTGCCTGTGAGCGAGGTTTCAGAGGAAGTGAAAATCATTTTCCACAATTGAGGTGTAGTAAATTGTGTTAAACCAATAAGACGTTAATGTTTGGGTAAATCGGGCTCTAACAGCTTCTGACTGCAGGCCCGATCAGGCAGTCCATTTTACCGCCTCATATTATTTAATGTTAGTAGCGTAACCAGCTTGTAGCCGGCTGGCATGGGGCTGGCAGCTGAATCAATTACCTGCAAACACTAATTTAGAGCATGCTCAATTGGCTGTGTAAGCAGGTCCCGGTTCACATTTGCCACAAGGAGATTAATAACTTGATGTTTTTGACAGCCTGGGACCTTAATTGAAATTACATTCTCTTTCCTCCAAGCTGCAAAAGGGGCATTTTGGGCCCTTTCGGGACAGATTCCGTGGGGTCGTGAGTCATTTGAAAGGCGAAGGATCTGTGACATGTGGTAGGGATGGGAGGGTGGGGTTCTCCTTGCCTGGCTGGGAGCCTGCTTGGCACCCCTCTGGAGCCCCTTCACCAGGCCTGGGCTTTTCCGGGCTCTCGTGTCACAGGCAACAGCCCGCAGTAGCAGCCTCCTGTTTCCTTTCAGTTCTCTGCTAATGAAGAACCTGCCCAGCTGTGCTGCCTTTTATTAAAGGTCTGGTGGCTTTTCTTGCTCTTTGGCCAGAGGGAGGGAGTCATGCTCCACGTGTTCTGTGTGCCCACTGAATCTACATTGTGGAGGGGAGAGGGAAAGCCTGAGGGTCTTCTTCCCTGACCACGCACACACCCCACGTGCCACGCATGCCACACACACAGCACTCACTACGCACATCACACTACACAACACACACCACACACATCACACACCACATGCACATCACACACCATACACACTACACACCGCACACAATAACATACTACACATACATCACTCACCACACATGTGCACTACATGCTACATACACGCATCACATACTGTGCACAATCACACACCACACGCAGTCATACATCACAAGTATATCACTCACCACACACCACACACGGATCACATACCCCACATACACGTTGCTCACCACGTGTGCTACATACCACACAGACTACACACCACACATCACATACCACACATACATATTGCTCATCATGCACACACGACACATCACACACCACACTCTACACACCACCACACACACCACACACCACATACACACCACATAACACACATATCACTCACCACATATACACTCAGGGCACACCAGACATACATCACATAGCACACACACACATTACTCACTATAACACACTATATATCACACACAGTCATATACCACACACACACATTGCTCACCACACAGACTACACAC